GTGTTTTGTGGAAGACTGACCTCACTGTCAGCTTGAGGAACAGCTCTCAAAACAGCGTTGGGGAGACCCATGGCTAAAGGTATGTGTGCTTTATGTGGATGCTGTCCAAGTGCCATTCTAAAAAGCAGCCTTTGAAAGCCACTTGTGAACTTTCACCCCATCTTCCCTCTCCACAGACTCAGCGTTTTTAAGATTTGTACCTCCATGTTGCCTCCCAGTCTCTTTCTCTGTTCTTTGTTTTTGTTCTCCTTGATGTTCTTAAATTACTTAGCTCTATGTTGTTTACTTTAAAGTGGGGAGGCTTCAAGACATTTATTTGTTCGTTTAGAAAAAGCTCACCATTTCCTGGGCCAAACAGATTAAACCCAAACGCTTGCACCTTCTGTGACCCTCTCTCTTTGTTATATGTCTTAGAAATATATCCTGTAAATGAGGATTGGTCTTGTTTTTTTCATAAGTTCTCCCTGAATACTAAAACTTTATCATAAAAGGTGACGTCTTCATTTCTTTTTTACACCGGGAAAAGTCTTGACATTACTGAAAGAATGACTGGTGGCTTGTTTTGATTTCTCACTGAGGAAGTTCAGACTAGAGTCTTACACACATTATCTGTGTTTCTAGACACTCAAATGTCTCATTATACATATTTCTTAGAGGAGTTGACACTCTGGAAACTCTAATTAAGCAAGTAGATGGTACATGCAAGAATTCTGGTGCAGTTGTCAGTGTGATTTTGAAAAGGGTTTTGCACCACCAACATTCTAGTCTTCTGTCTTCCTCTTTTTCTGACATAGTTCATTAGTGAACTATGGTCATTTATTTGTGAAATAAAGAGGGAGGTTCTGTTGGTTTTATTGCTCCACTGGATTTGCAGTGCTTTAGTCTTGCAGCTGAGTGCCTTTTTCTCTAAAGGAGTTCTGGAGGCTTACAGGAGCCTCCTGGGGCAAACCAGTCTGGCCCATTTCTTGACTGCAGCGTGGGAATGCTTTGACTTTCATGAAGGTGATGATATTCACTCTCACAATGAGGAGGATGTATTTTGGTATAGCTGCTAGTTGGTTGCAGATCAGATGAAGTGTGTGTCAAGCTGATTGGAGACAACCTGTGAAAAACTTGTTATTTTCCAAAATGGATATAATAGTGCAGATCATCATGGCAGATCTGAGAGAAGCCATATAGTATGAGAGATGCCATAGAGGTTGGAGGAGTGAAGTCCCTCCATTTGGCCCGGAGGCAATGCAGCCTCGTGGCTAAAGCACTGGACTTGGATTTTATGAACCTTTTCATAAAAGCTTTACAACTGCTTTAGTGAATAACCATGGGCAAGCCATTTCCCACCCTGTTCCTCAGTTTTCCAATCTGTAAAATGAGGATAAAGATACTGACCTCCTTTATAAAGCACTTGGAGATCTATGGATGAAAAGCATTATATAAGAACTAGATGGTATTATTGTAAGAATACTAAAAGCAATTAATTTGTTAGGTGTCCATGTTGCTATCAGTTAGAGTGGCTAGCTGCTTCTTGAGGAATCTCATAGTAATTCTTTCTTAAAGAGAAAATGGATGATGTAGAGGATGGAGTTGGGTGGTGTACAATTAAGTATCTCTGAGTTCCAATCCTGTGCCTGACATTGACTGACATAGAATCATAGAACTGGAAGGGACCTCGAGAGATCATCTAGTCCAGTCCCCTGCACTCATGGCAGGATTAATTATCTAGACCAGGGGTCAGCAACCTTTCAGAAGTGGTGTGCCGAGTCTTCGTTTATTCACTCTAATTTAAGGTTTCACGTGCCAGTAATACATTTTAACGTTTTTAGAAGGTCTCTTTCTATAAGTCTATAATATATAACTAAATGATTGTTGTATGTAAAGTAAATAAGGTTTTTAAAATGTTTAAGAAGCTTCATTTAAAATTAAATTACAATGCAGAGCCTCCCCGGACCAGTGGCCAGGACCCGGGCAGTCTGAGTGTCACTGAAAATCAGCTCGCATGCTGCCTTTGGCACGCGTGCCATAGGTTGCCTACCCCTGCTCTAATGGTTGGGGCAACTTTCTGCTTCTGTTTTCCCCATCTGTAAAATTAGGGTAGTAATGCGCCTCTTGCAAGGTTGTTGTGAGGGCTAATGTTTGAGGTGCTTTGTAAAACAAGTACTTAAGAATTTTCAAAATATTGAAGCAGCCTATTACAAAGCATTTTAAGACCCCATACACTTTTCCATCCATTTCAAAATTTGTCCTTTCCAGTTTCCACAGTGAAATTGAGAACTTTTATTTGGAATTTTTTCACAAATATTTCAGTTACTTTTTTTCCGTTGAGTCTCATGATTCTTTTTATTCTATTTAATCTCTCCCACCACTCTTGTTCCAGAATCAAAAGCTTGGCTTACATAGTAGGATATATTTTCATCCTGGTGCCTGGGAAATGAGTTGTGCAACTATCTTTGTTGCTAACAAGAATAGTGCCAGCCACCTTACTCCCTCCACATATGATGCGAATGTGCCCTGGCACGAACAGTATTCCGTTATTGGTGGTGGTGGTGGGGGAGAGGAATACTAGCGCTTAAAATTTTTATCTGAAACATTTCTTCTTACTGTATGCACGAAAAAAAGTGAAATTGAAGTAATTTTAATTAATCCAGGCTGCAGATGATCATTGACTTGGCTTGAAATCCAGTTCTCTTACTCACAAATTGCTTAGTCAAGTCCAGGAGTGGAATGCAGGGCAGTGCATCTAGTTATGAAGGCTGTTTGAATGGAGCATTATGCTGAGTGTTGCCTATGGGGCATTGTCTGTGTGCTGAGGTCTGTTGTCCCCATGATCTCACACGTCCCTGTTTGGCATGCAGGTAACTGCAGTCCATTTCATTCAAATTAGGTGTGGCCCTTCATGGTGTGAGAGAGCTGCCAGTGTGGCCCTCAGCATCTGACTTCTCTCGTGATTGGAGGCAGTGTGGCTTTATGGCTTGACTGCACACGGGTAGCTAAAACAGCTGCATTTTTACTTTGGTTCTGCCATTGAATCACTGGCATGTGGCCCTGGTAAAGTTCAGTGACATTTGACAGGAACTGAATCAAAAGAGTTCTATAGAAATGATTATTTTAAAATGATCTTCATTACATTCTGTAGGGTTTTAAACCAATTTACAGAATTTTATAGCAGGGATATATAATTCCCTTCTATATTTTATCAGAAGCTTACTTAAAAATATTTTTGCAAAAAAGTAACACTTTCCAGTTAAGACCCTTAGGACGACTTCTCGTAATATTCAACCGTGGGGGCCAAAAGTTTAAAATAGATAAAAATGGCCCAGTTTTCAGAAGGAGCCACAGATGCTTTTGATGATTGGTTAGTATAATTTTAGGACTGATTTCAGTTGGAGCTGTTAGGCAAAGGCTGAGCATGTTTGAAATTCCCACCTTAAGTGCCTAGCTTTGGGCACCAGGATACGGAAGAGTTTGGACATAACATGTCTGCTTCACTTTCCCCATCTGTAAAACAAGGCTAGTTATACTTTCCGTCCTCCAAAGGGCCTTAAAAGGATGAAGCAGTTAACGTTTGTACAGCACTTTTAAAATGTAAGACATTACAGAAATGTTATAGGCGATTAATATCTGCTGCACTTTTTCATCTTCCCTCATGAAGAGGGTAAAGGTTGTTTTCTAGAATTAATGCCTTCGTTGTAATTCCTTTCTTGATTTGTCCATTTGTCATTTTCCATCACTCCCACATCTGGAATGAAGGGAGAGCTTGACTTGATGTACATCTGTTCACTTTGCATGCTATTAACAAACAATTAAGAAAAAGCACAATCATGGCAAGCTAGCACAAAATAGAAACCATGGAAAAATCTTTTGCCACAAATGTGTGTTTGCATCATTCATATAAACAAGCAAGCTTACAGTGACAGACGTTTTTTCTTTAAAGGGATATTGTCAAGGTTTACAGACTCCAAATTACCCATCTTTCCTTTCTCCCCTTACTCCTACTCCAGTGGTAGTCTAGCTTCTTCAAAACATATCCCTTGTATGGTAAATCTCCTGAAATATAGCGGTCCTTTCTTTCACTGACCTGTCATGTCTTTGTCCTTCAGCCTACCATTGTTTGACTGGCAGGTATTAGTATTGTAGAAGGCTAAGGAACTTTCATTATTCTGTTGCCAGTATGTAACCCTATAAAACCAGTATAAAAAGAACCAGTATAAAAAGAAGGACAACACTGCAGAAGATCTAGGGCACAGTGGAGCCTTCTGTCCCATTCCACTTACTTTATTCTCTTTTAACAGTTAGCTGGATGCTAAGTAGTTTAAAGCCATAATCAGAAGGGTAGCCGTGTTAGTCTGTATCCACAAAAACAACGAAGAGTCTGGTGGCACCTTAAAGACTAACAGATTTATTTGGGCATAAGCTTTCGTGGGTAAAAAGCCCACTTCTTCAGATGCATGGAATGCAAATTACAGATGCAGGCATAAATATACTGACACACGAAGAGAAGGGAGTTACCTTACAAAACTCCCAACTCCCTTCTCGTTAGGTATCAGTATATTTATGCCTGCATCTGTAATTTTCAATCCGTGCATCTGAAGAAGTGGGTTTTTACCCACAAAAAGCTTATGCCCAAATAAATCTGTTAGTCTTTAAGGGGCCACCGGACTGCTCGTTGTTTTAAAGCCAAAATGTGACTTTTAAAATATTCGTTTTAAATTAGAGACCCCATTGTTAACAGCAGCATTTTCATTGCATTGCTTTTAAACTTCAGTGAATAGAGTTTTTGTTTGGATATAAACATTTCATCATGGGGCTTTCAACCCAAAATGTAAAATATCGCTAGTATTTGAGGATGAGAAAGTGAAACTAACTACTGTGTTTGTGTGGTGTGCAACAAATGAACAGACTTCATTAATGGTGTGAAGTTCAAACTCCTTAATATTTTAAGATATTATTAATTCAGACAGACTTTTTAAATAAGATTTTTTTACTTTTTTTTTTTTACCTGACAGTGCCTCTTTCAGATTGAATGGTGTTTCAAGTGGGACGTAACTGGGGAAGAAGTTTACAGTGTTCTGCTTCAGACTGTTTTCCTGAAGGTTTGTGAAATGTTTTCCTGAAAGTTTGTGAAATGAATTCTTCTAGTGCAAGTTAAGACTACAGCATCATGGCTTTACTTGGGAAAAAATCATATGTGACCTCTGGTAGATTTACCTGATTAAAGAAAACAGAATTAGGATCCTTTGAAAATATTAACATCAGGGAGTTTTAGGGCTCTTTAAGACACCTTTGATTTCTCTTTCCCGTTACCTACTCTAGCTCTAGGGTGACCAGATGAGGGAAAGAAAATATCGGGACACGTTGTGGGGGTGGGGGAGGGTGGGTGCAAAACAAAAAGCCGAGTCAGTCATGCCTATCTAGCTCTGGTTCAAGCCAGATGAAAATAGAAAAGTGTTAAGAATGAGTCTTTAGAGGGCAAAAATCAATCTCATTTGGCCATGAGTGAGAACAGGCACTAAGAGCTGGGCTTGTAGATGTCGTTTATACACCCAGTGGCAGTCCTCAGGGTTTTTTTTATATAAGTATGAAAGGCACACATTTATTATGTCCTTCAAAAGACATTTAAATTTTGGTACAGTTGATTTTTTTGTTGTTGTTCTGTGGGCAAAGTGTGGGGGGAAATTGAATCTCAAGAACCAATTCAATTTAATTCAGGGATTGCAACTGCAGATGAAACATTATAGCCTTTTCTTTAGGAAAGGAAATGGTCCTGTCAGATTAGAGGCTATTGAACCCTCATGCTAATTGCAAGAGCAGTTATGTGCACAGTCTAGTAATTATCTGTAATTTTAAGGAAGACAGATGTAGCATTAGCTTCTGATTTAGATAACAGCCTTATTAATTTTCAAGTGAGCAGCAGAAGAAGCAGATGGTGAGATGAGGGAAGTAGTCAAATGTTTGCCATTGATAGCTCTTACTTTTGTGTAATAAATTTGGCTAGTGATTGGCTAAGCCAGCAGGGTCCTGATTGCTATCAGGACTCTAACCAGCTGGGTCCTTCCTGGGGCTGTTTTCAGAAGGCTGGTGCATGCTAATGTGTGTACTGCTGAGGACATGACAAGTATTGTTTTAGTTATGATGCCATGGGATGGCTTTTATATAAGTAGACACACTAATAATACTCTGAGACCAACAGATCCGAGGCTTCCTCAGTGAGATTCTTTTGTCCATGAAAAGCAAAACATATGAACAAAAAATCTTCACCTGTTACAAACTGAGCCACTTCTTTAAAAAGCAGCAAAGTGTGGGGATTTTTGCATTTGAGATCTTGGTGGAAGTGTATTTGGCAGTACTGCCCCTTTAATGTTACTTTGGATTATAGGAAGAACTGTTCAGTGATGCACAGCACCTTTTTGTCAAATATTGTTGAGCATGTTATTCAGGAAACGATCCAGCGACTTAAGGTACTAGACAGGTGGCATGCACGATTCCTGGTGAGGATCTTGTTAATCTGCAGATAGCCCGGCCACCACTGATAAAAGCGTGACACAGACAAGGGGAATTGCATGCAGTCCTCCCAGTCATAGAATGCAGCTGGCCAGGTCATTTTTTTTTACCTTCACAATAACTATCAACTCAACTGACCCCAGTTGGCAGCCGTGTGGACAGTTTCAAAAGAAGCTAAGGATGGCATCAGCATGAAGACACCTCCAATAGATTGGTCAAAGATGGGGCATGCAGGTGGTGGGAATTGCACACTGCCTGTGCTGTGATCATTCTGTGGATGAGGAGAGGACTCCTTCACCAGGGCCATCATTCTGGCACTTTTCACAAATACTAAATTGACTCCACTGGTGTCCCTCTTCGTGAATGCATTCAGAATCACGTTAACCTACATGAGAGTGCAGCATGGTGAATGTATGTAACAAAGTCAGAGGATACCACATACGGACTTGTGTGTTGTAGCATATAGATGTTTCTTTTACAGTAATGACACTTAGTTGGAGTGCTGCATGCATAATTTTCAAAGTCAGTTAGTTCTGGCAGCACTGAATCTCTGGACATATTTCTACAGTGTTATGAAACATTGTACCACTGGAGAATAATTTGCACAATTGGAAAGGACCAGCTTTAAATAAGCAGGGAGCAGACACAACGGGCAGGTCAGTTTCCTTAATTATCGTAGACTACTGGACATTAAATGATGAGGTCACTGTTTCCTGACAGCTGATTTATATCTCTCCTGTTCTGCTTCTGGCGGGATGAACACAAACCCAGCTCTTTGTGTATTTTTCTCCTTTTGCCCACAAGTGAAATGATCAAGTATTAAATGTCAATAATTAAAATAACAAACCACTGATTTTCTTCAAACCTGGCTTGATTTTTAGGTCAGTGGAGCTATTTATGTGAGCAGTGTCTAACCCAAAGGTCAGTAAGAAAAACAGATGCAAGATCAGATAGTACACAACTGTTAGAGCAGAGAGAGTGTGAAATCATTGTGGAGGGGAGTGCTGAAAGAAGTGGGTTTAAGGAGGTATTTCAAGGGGGCAGAGAAAAGGAAGACTTGCCAAACATATGGGGCAGCATGACAGAATGCAGGGAGCTTAGAGAATAATAAGGCAAAGGAAATTGATACAATATAGGGAGTGGAAGAGGAGCAGGGGGGGAACGAAAACAACGGGGTCAGATTTTATGTAGGATTTTGTAGAGGAGAATATGGGGCTTGAAACTGATATTGTAAAAGACAAGAACCCAGGAGAGGAGAGGTGGATGGAGTAGTAGGAGAGGAAGATGATTTTACCATTAGCGTCTAGTGTTTTTGTGTTAGCATTTAGACAAATTTGATTTAATTTTTCATTCTTGATGCTCAATTCAAATGACATCTATATATCATTAAAATAGTGGATCAGATTCTCATCTGGTGTGAATTGGGTTAATGCCATTGAAATCAATGAAACTATGGAGATTTACACCAAGTGAGGTTCTGGAGCATCACATTTAATTAACAGTTATGATAAGAGGACACACTTTTTATGCAGTTCTGATGACTATTTGTTCACTCACAATCTGCCTAGATAGTGTATAAAAATATTTTAGTGGGGGTTGGTTGGTTGGGTAGGTTTTGTTTTTGTTTTTGTTTTTTTTTTCCAGTCCATAGTTGAAGCTTCATGTTCAGGAAGGCTGAGGTAATTTTTGAAAATGTTTTCAAACAGATTTTCAAGGATGTGCATTTTTTTCAGCTAACTCTTCCCTCTGGAAACCAGAACTCTTCAAGAGCATTTTGACAGCCAAAAACTAAAATTGTATTCAACATTGGTGAATTAAAGCTTGATTTGTTCGCACAATATAGCAGTGCATATTTGTGCTTCATAAAGGTTTGCAGGTTCCACCCCTAAGTACAACATTGTAAATATGACTAATTAAAGCAATATAGCACTTACATGATTTTTCAAGATCTATATTATAATTTTTGTTAAGCGGAGAAGCCTGATTGGATAGATCTTCAGCCAGCCACGTGTTGTTATAACTTAAAGCAATATAATAAAAATCCAACAGACAGAAAAATCATGTGCAGATTTCTGCTGAAGTTCTGAATATAAGCATATTACAGATAAAACTGCAGCTGTTGTCCATTAAATTCTCTCTGAGAATAGCTGCTGGCATGCTCTATCCTGCCTTCAGTGTACTGTAGAGAACCCAGTTGAAAAACAGGTTCAGAGCATGTCTCATATTTCACTTACATGCATGAAATATGCCACAAAATGCTGAAGTCACTTTTTTCTTTTGAAATATAACCTCTCTGTAACAGTGTTTACTGTCTTGATAGAGTTGGGCATAGGAATTACTGTGTAGGACTTTTCACATATTTTTGGACAATTGATTCTCCTATGCAATCTTTTGGATTGCCTGTTTTGGCCCTTGTGCTCAGCATAGATGTAAATGTTCTACAGAAAGTACAAGTTCCAGTTAAGATGATGATATTTGAAAACTTAGGAGTTTTTTGGGTCTGAGTAAATAACACTTAAGTGTCTACATATACTCAAATGACTTTTTGTCATATAAGAGAATATGTATTTAAGTGAGAAAGTCTCCTTGTTTATTTTAAAGCCCTTAAAATGAGTTTATTTGATAAAATATCATTTGCCACTGACATCAGTGGAGCCCGGATTTCACCAGTGTCTCACCTTCTTTTCTAATCGCTATATAATATGCATTTTCAAAACTGTCATTTGTCCTTTTTTTTTTAGGAAATTTCAAATATAGTATAGACCCTTGGGGCCAGATTTTTAATGGGTTTCTAAAAATGCACTTGCAAAATGTACCTGTTCATCAGTTTTTTGTGTGTGAGCAAATAGCTGCAATTGCAAGCACATTTTTAGAGCTTAGTCTTTGGTCTTGAGGATTTGGCCCAGGGAATTCAATGTTAATAATGAAGGTCCATCCTTGGTTTATGCCATTGTGCCTAGACATTACATCTGATGTGGACTTATTTTTAGGTGTCGGGATTTACCCAAACCTCGTAGAGACCTGACACTACAACCATTCTGCCAGAGTTCCTACTCCACCCCACTCCATTGTGCTACCAGCACAGTGGACCTGCAAAGTAAAGCTTTCTAAACTATTTGGTCTTTGTTTAATGCCGTGCGTTATGCACCCAGCACAAACTGTCTTAGAAGAGTAGCTGGGCTCTGAGTTACTGCACATACTTCATTTCACTTCCTTTGCGTTCTCCCCATAGATTGTAAAATGTATCTTAATGCAAATTTTGGTAATTTGCACTGTCCAAACCCCACAGTGATGCTGTTCATAAGCAGGAGAGAAAAAAGAAACCTCAAGAGACAACTGGCTAGGGGAAGTTAATTGTACGGATGGTAGGAATACAAGGAACTGTGGGAGTTTAAATCAACAGCACCACAGTTACTGCTTTCTTGCTTTATACAGATTAAAATAGGTAATTTGTAGAAATGCACAAACTTCTTGTTGTCAATTAGGAACTGGCTCATGGTTACTCCTGTGGGACAAGTCTTCTCTCTGGGGGTTCACTCCAAGTATGTGATCTGGATGCTGGAGTGCACAGTGAAGTGGGTGGGTGGGGGGACGTGCAGAGCAATTGTTCCAAGCTGCAGTGTAGGAGGAGTGTAGACTATTGGGGGTTTTGCTTAGTGGTTCTGCCTCCATTCTTTCTTGTACATGGCTATGGAGGGGGGTTCTTGCATCCAGTAATGCTTCATTTCCCAGAAACCTGCTCCGCTGCCAGGAGTTCCCTCTGTGTGTGTTGGGCTACTCCAGTGCATGCTACATGGGACTACGCCTTAAATCCACCTCGACACTGCAGCTGGTGCAGAACACAGAGGCCCACTTGTTAAGTTGGACATATCTTTTCTGCAAGTACATTAAACCAATTCTCTGTGATCTGCACTGCTTGTGTCTTGGTTCTGGAGTCAATTTTAAGATGTTGGTTTTGATCTGTAAAACCATAAATGCCCTGTGTCGTACCTATCTAAAAGACCCAAAATTCATGGAAACTTTTGACCTTAATCTTTCTGTCTCAATTCTCCATCTGTAAAATGGGGATAATAATACCTCCTATTTTACACTATTGTGAAAATAAATTCATTAATATTTGTGAAGCACTCACATACGGTAGTGATGAATGCCATAGAGAAACCCATGAGAAAATTGATTCTGTCTTTAGAGCAGGGTTTGAATAGTGTGCAGTAAATGAGGCCTGGGCTGCATGCTGAATAATGAGGAGAAAACAAAAGATGGAATAGCTGCTCATTAAGCGAGCAGCATCATCCTGTGCACTGAATGTGGCAGGGTTTCCGTGGAAAATAAAGTATATGTTTATATAAAGTATGGATTTCATATAATTAAATACAGTACCATACTGCAAATGCACAAGTGGGACAAATTAAGATTGCACAGGCAACTTTAAATTCAGGCATTTCCAAACTTTTGAATGCTTAACTTTGCAACCTTCATACCATTCTTTTGTGTGCAATGTTGATATAGTTTGAGACATCACTGTTTTGGAGGACTTGTTGAAACCTCTTGGGGATTTATGTACTTTTTAAAAGGCTCTGCTTTAAATTTCTGTTATACTGACAGCTATATTTGACAGCCCAGACAACATAAGATTTGCCAAATATCAGAGAAGATAGGAAACTGGAGATAGAAAAGATCTATACATTTAATCAGTCTTTCACGTTCATTTTTTTCCTCTATGTATTTTCTAGGGCTTTTTCCGTTCTTGATAGAAACTATGGTTCAGACCTTGAAGTCCTAACTTGTTTTTTTGTTTCACCCTTTCTTGGTCAAAAGTGGGTGGAAGGACTTTTGGATATGGTCCCACAAAATCATCCATGAAAATCATCATGGTTTTATCATTTAGTTTAGTAACAAACTAGACAAATACTCAGAGAAGCTTTAATGTCAAATTCACATAATACAAAATATTCCTAGTTTGCATGGAAGATAATCTACTTAAAATATTCATGCCTATGAATGTAAAAGAGGTTTTAAGTGTTAGCTACTGATGATTGAGGTATTGTTACAAGAATTAGACTGCTTAGTACAAAAATAGAAACATGACACTGAAAAATCCTATGGTTGCCTTCTGTGTATGTCTCCCTCCATTGTTACATTTGTTTGTGTTTCAATTGGATTAGTTAATTTGCTTTCTGACATTTTTGTGCTTTGAGTAACACATTTTAAAGACATCCTGACCTAAAAACAGATAAGCAGGCAGCCCTCAAGCAGGGTTCATATGAGCTTATGGGGTGTATTGTATGCTTTAATTTCTTTTATTTAACATGCATTACCCATACCCTCGAGTCTTTGTTGTGTATCTGGCCACCATCTGCTACTGAGATCTGGAGTCTTGGGCAGAGCTTTTGTCTTCTATCACACAATTTCTGTCAACCTTTTGTAGCATATGAGACTTCCTTGCCTGAGCATGTTTGCTAGTACTGTAATAGTTGCTTATCTTCTGTGGTTTGACCAGGACTGGCCCCAAGCGGCGGGGGGAAAAAAAAGCCGCAAATTCGGCGGCAGGTCCTTCCCTCCAAGAGGGACTGAGGTTCCCGGTGCCGAAGTGCCGGACGGGCCGCCCCTCAACGTTGGCCGCCCCAAGCACCTGCTTGCTGTGCTGGTGCCAGGAGCCGGCCCTCAGGACACAACACAGGAGCTGAGTTAGTGCACGAGCTATGAAGCAAGACTTGGAACGTCATGGTGACGAGATGTTGTGAACCAAAATAAACTGAGACGCTGCAATGCAAGAAACTCAGATTTCTTCATTGGTAAGAATAGTGGAATCTGGAAAGGAAAGTGAAATAAAATTCCTACAATGAACTGAAAAATAAGCATGGGCTGGGCTTTCTATTTCATTTGGACTGCAAGGTGGAGTGAGATCCATATGTCTGGACTTTTCAGAGTATATTTTGGGGAGAAAAAAACATTTTTTGCTTGAAAAATAAATCTTTAGAGGAAAACTTCAAAAACTTATGGGGATTATGCTTTACATTTCTGTTCTTAGTTACTGACATTTCTTATTTGTGCAGCACATTGTTATAACTGGCTTAATTTATACAATTAATATTATGTTAAATAATTGATTATAATGTTAATTCTTCATCACTAGCTCTTTGATTTTTCTGATTTTATGAACTTGTTTGAAAGCAGACTTTCTTTAAAATCTGTGGTAGTGCATAAAGCTGAACTTAAAAAAGCCTTATCCATCTGCCCTGTCCTAATGGATTACACTCCAGTGAGTCTGTCAGTCAAACACCAGCTGTAGATGAGTAAGCAGGATTTTTGGCAACTTGTTTCTTGCCCAGATATTCCTTATCTGCTTTCCCACCTCTTGTTTTATCGCCTTAATGCTTTGACTGCAGCAGTAGGAGTTCTGATTATTTATTTGGAAACCTAAGTTTGTACAAGCCAGTGCCTTGAAGCCTGAAGTGGAAGGGGAAAAAAAAGGAGGAATATGTGTGGGTTGTAACTATAATGATCCCCTGGTGCTCATTAAGGATTACCATAAATATGTATGAGGCAGGAGGAGTGTTTAGTGGCTGTGTCTTTTGTCTCTGCTGTTCTTCATGCTGCTTGGAAAGATAGTGGGTGACAATCTGGGTGGCTCCAGGTTTGGAATCATTGCTAAAGTTTCTAGCAGGGCTCATCTATATTATTCTGTGGATAAAGTGACCTGCTGAGGGATCTTACCCGTGTTTAACTTCATCCTCGGGATGGTTATAAGAACATAAAAATGGCCATACTGGGTCAGAACAATGGTCCATCTAGTCCGCGGTAGGCAACCTATGGCACACGTGCCAAAGGCAGCATGCGAGTTGATTTTCAGTGACACTTACACTGCCTGGGTCTTGGCCACCGGTCCGGGGGGGCTCTGTGTTTTAATTTAATTTTAAATGAAGCTTCTTAAACATTTTAAAATCCTTATTTACTTTACATACAACAATAGTTTAGTTATATATTATAGACTTATAGAAAGAGACG